GAGCTGGGAAATCCTTTAGACCAACGTTGATCATAGTTTTCACTTGTCATTAGCATTACACCATTACTGGTGCACTGATTAAACTCGGTACAACCCTCCTGCAGATTGTTTGAACAGACAAGACCTATCAGGCTGCTGGTGCAGCTGGGAGCTCTGCCATTAGCCTCTGGCTACCAAGGGTGGTTCCACTGCAGATGTTTGATAAAGCACTATGGTAAAACCCATCATTCAGATGGACAAATTCTGGTGAGGAAGCACCTGACACTTTTGATCTTCTGGCCTTATAGCCAGATTAGGTAAGCTGAAGGGATCAGCTCTCAATGATTAATTGGAAAAAATAAACCAGAGTACTACCACATCCCCTGGCTATTCAAACATAAGGATGTCTCAGCCCCAATTTTTGCTATTTAAATAGCAATAAAATTAGTCACTGTTCACAGTAATTCATTGAACTTTTGCTCTCATTTTCTTCTAACATAAGAATTTGGCCACATAAATTAAAGAGCTCAGAAGGCTGATTTAGCCCCACGCCCAGGCTCAACTACCATCCCAAGATTATACTTGGTTCATTACAGGAGAAAGCTGAAGCACAGAGCACACCAGGTGAAACACAGCAAGTCCACCTCCCTTCTCCCAGTTACAGAGCACGCCTTGCAGAGCAAATCCATCTCAAATTTTCTCTCCTAAGGGCAAACTCCATGCAAACACATACACAATTCATCTGCATCTCCCATTTCAGCCAACATATCCTCCGATGATTTTAGGCCTCTCACTCCTATAATTAACAGAAGATTCATGCTTCCTCTTTACCCATCCGTTGCTCTATCAGATAGAGCAAAAGAGTCGAAAACAATTGGGTTATACTGGGTTCTGTACCTAAATGTCTGAGCCTATTTCATGCAGCAGATCCAACAGGACACAAATTAGATACCCCTTGGACAAATAGCAGCAGATCGGAGGCATAGCCTTAAATTAGAAATGCTAGCACAGCTGCAGTCATTTGTAGTGAAAAGCATCCCAAGATCTTTTTAGTCTTTCCTCAGAAACCCATCACAATGCGAGCAGAAATAACTTTGTGCTGTGCTGGCAGCAGCATGTCTTCTATCTGCTGTTTTCAATCTGTGGCTTCTGCCAGCACAGCCTGCAGTATTCAGCTCCAGGTTCAGCGCTGCCTGAAGGAAGGGTGGCCAGCACTGACATACTCCCATAGCTATCAAAGCACACAATGCCAAACATCCCTGATATGTTCCTACCAGCCTACTATTTCCCACTCACATCTGCCATAAGGTGCACCTACCTCTACCAAACTCGCCAGTAGTTTTGGTGTACTACACACAGGTTCTGGGGACATTTCCCAATCCCAGTGAACCCGCTCGCTCCTGGGTGTTACTAAAAGAACCTGGTTTTACACAGCAAGTTGGTGGCACCGAGGTCTGCAGGGGTGATCTGTGTAAGAGGCCAGGGGCCATGCGGAACGGATATGCTCAGTTCTGACCAGCTGCACAGTGTCCACTACAGGATATGATGAGACCATCAGCCAGGCTGGTAGCACCTCTGGCAGAAGATATTTAAGAGTGCAGCAGTGAGGAAAAGACTGAGGAAATCAACTCTGCAAAACATATAGATCAGAGGAGGGGTGGGAAGGGGTGCTCCAAATGCCAGAGTGGAGATTGGCCCCGCAGGCTCTGAAGACCATCATGGCAAAGTGGGCTGCTTCCCTGCAGTCCATCAGGGCAGACCTCCATGCTGCAGACAATGGAGGATCCCAAACTGAAGTAAAAGCATGAGGAGAAAGGAGTGTGGGAGGAACTGCTATGGACAGATGGCAACTCCCATCTCCTGCCCAATCTGCACCACTAAAGACAGTGGAGGGAAGGTAGAAGAGCCAGGAGTAAAGTTGAGACTGAGAAGGGAGGGCTTGGGTAAAGGTGTTTTTAGTTTGTTCTTCCTCACCACTCACCTCTATTTTTAATTGGCAATAAATTGATGTGCCTGAAATGACTGCTAAGTCATCCCACGGTCGTTATCTCAACCCATCAAGCTGCTCCATCTTACTCTCTCCCCCATCTCCTAATGAGGAACATAAGAGTGACTGAGTGGAGATGTGGGAACAAAGTAAGGCCAACCCAAAAGACACACAGAAAGGGGATGGTGGGAGGAACAACACGGTAAGGAAAGTAAATGTGGATTTCAAATTGTCACTAAACAAACAACCTTCTACTTCTACAATGATGAACCAAGAGAAGAGCAGAAAAAGTTTTCTTCGAAGAGAAGTTGTACAATGCTCCACTTCAAGTCCTCTTCTTATTCTCTAAGAATACCTCCTTGAACTGACCTGAAACAGATGTTTTATTTCACAAATCTAAGCTCAGTTATTAACCTCTTCAAATGTCTTTTTGAAAGACTGACACTTTCTTTAAGCAAATGGCTCACACCCCTCTCAACAACTGTTGCTTGGTTTTGTTTTCAAGGCATTGATTTGCTGGTATAAAAGATGATGAAAAGGCCCTTTCAAGACAGTATTCCAGCTACTAAACAGCAGAGTTATTTCTTATGAAAAGTAATTTGAAAAGAACAAAACCAACAGGTATTCCTTCTTAACCTCATAAGCCACGCGCTAGATTAAATGTAACACTTCATTAGGTAGGGGGAAAACCATGGTTTAATTACAACAGTGTAGCATGAACACTTTAGTAGTCGATACCAGGATATTATCGTGATGTCTAAGCTAAACTTGACTTCTCCACAGATACTGTAAACAGACACCCTAAATGCACTAAATAATTGGCATTAAGAAAGTTTATACAAAGGCAGTCAGTTGTTTAATCTTTAAGATGCCATGACATGGTGAGACAAACACGCATACATCAATAAGTACAGAGAAATGTTATGCTACATTTTGGACAGTTCAGAACTGAAAGTGCTTCACATCTACAGGATAAGAAATGGCTTCATCTCCTCATCCCTAAATGATGAGAGCAAAGAAATAACCCTTCAATAGGTTAAATAAACAGTGCCCCTTTTATCCATGCTTATATAAAGTTTCCAACAATTCAGAAGGTCCATGGTGAAATTTACACTCTATGTACAGTATAACAAATTGTAAAAGAAAAACGTTCAGATATTCCTTGGTTCCCAAAAGCCTGAATCTCGCTCTCTGTGCTAGAGCTAAGGACAAGAGCTACATATAACATTAGGTGGGTTTGGGTTGGTTGTTTTTTTTGTTTGTTTTTTAACCTTTTTTTCTTTTTTTTTTTTTTCTTTTATTTCTTTTTCTTTTCTTTTCTTTTTTTTTTTTTTGTAAAAAATTCATCATCCCAATCCACCTCAAATAAAATCAGTCCCCAAGTTCTGGTCGTATTTAACAACTGCTTGATCCCAGTGTTTAAGGCATGTTCATTAGATATCAGTATAGGGGTACTGTCAGAAATTATCTTAATCACAGGTACTACGTGTCAGCAAATTTACACAGCAATGCTACTCTTTACAATACGATGTAAAACAAAGTCGTGTTATGATCCAAGTTGTTCCTGAGTTAAAATTTGCTAAATACTGCTAAGATTCATGTTCTCCTTTTATACTTCCTCTGGAATGTCCTTTCACATATGCACAATTGAAAGTTAAAACTCAATCTGAGAACGGCCTTGATGTCAGAAGTAGAAGTGTTAGCAAAATTTTAATTATGTCATTCTCGACCCTAAATTTAGCCAATTAGCCATGAATTTGCAGGGCTTAATATCACTTAGCTTTTAGCAAGACTATTTTCTAAGGATGAAGATCATTGTAAATGCCAGCATACATTTTTGTGCAACTGCTAAGATTTTGCTAGGAAAAGATTTTGCTATCAAGAACTGCCGAAACCCTAAAGTTCAGTGAGTATATTTAACTAGATATTGCAGACATTCTCCAGTTTTCTTACCCAGTCTGCTCCTTTAGAACTAAGGGAAGAAATCAGAGGAACACAGATGAAAATACTACAAATCTATTCAGCTTTTAAAATCAGACAAGTAGTTCAGATTAAGTACCCATTCTCACTGAATTCTGCAGTAATGTAATCATTAATGTTCTTTCCTATTAAAAAAAAGAGAAAGCTATTCACATTTTTTGTAGAAAGAACAGCTTTAAGAGCATTTTTTCATTAGATTCACAATATGCACGATAATTTTTACCACCCTACCCATTTTGGCATCAATTCATTACAGTTTTCATAAACATTTGCTTACACTTAAGGAGAATTAACGGGCAGCAGACAATCAAGATGGCAAAAGGTGCAACTTGGGTCTGCACTATACCTGCACATCTGCTGTCAAGTGAAGAAAACCTCCTGAGAAAGCTGTACCACCTACAGTGTGACCCACAGTTTGCTGAAATCAAGGGGACTCTTACAATGAGCTTGAATGGGTATTTTAAGTGCTCCAAATGAAGCTCAGCATTTGTGGTGATGTAGCATCTCCTACTTTAAAGAAAGAAACAGATTGTGGTAATTGCACCTAGCAGACTAGGGAATAAAAAAGTTCAGGTATGTTCATGATATGCATTTCCCAATCTGCCAATGATGCAAAAAAATGAATTACAGTACGATGAAAAAAAAAATCGTATTTCCAAATTGTTTCCATTTAACTCCTAGCAGGACAGAAACCAGCAGTATGCTGAGAAAACAGGGTGGGAAAGGAACGACTACATCCACACTTTGGGAATTCCAACCCAAATCTTAAACAGTGGAGAAAAAAAACAAATCTCTGAGTGAAGTTTGCTCTGGCCCATGCACCTTATGCAAAAAAAACCAAAAAAAAACAAAAAAGAAAAAAAAAAAACCAAAACAAAAAAAAAAAAACTTAGCTAGAATTTAATTGTTGTGACCATAAAAAATAAATAGCAACAATTTATTCACAAAATTATGGATTAGATTGATTTTTTTTTTTTTTTTTTTGCTTTAACAAACTGTATGATCCATTAAATTACCAGCCAGCTGTATGCTTAAGCACAACAACAACAAAAAAGTAGTACATAAACACCTAAAAATCACAGTCAAAAAGCAGGCAAGTACATCAGTCTTCTGGTGGCCAAAGCACAAGAGATTAGTCTGCCAAATGAAAGTACATGAACATAAATCGTGGGCATTAGTGTCGTTAAGTTTTGTTTCCACCACCAATAAACGATTTCCTGTAGTTTAATACTGTTTCTAAGCAATTGTAAACTGCTTCAAACGTATGTGCAGAGATAAATAACAGGAAAGGATTTAAATACACTGGTCAATAGGAAAAACAAGTTTTTAAATTTGCATGTGTGATGAGTGAGCATTTTGGAGCAAATCCATAATTAGCCACAAAGAACTCTGACCCTTCTTAGCTAAGACAGTACTGCCACCTTTCTAACACTTGTGACCGTTGTAAGAACAAGAAGGAAAAAAACAACGTATCAGCCCTGATATACCAACCACATATGCATTCAAAATTACAGATATTTACAAGAAAAATATATATATTTAATTAAAAAGCCACTGAAAAACATGGACTTTTAGTCAGATGCTGCACTTTCTGCAAAATGAGGTAATTTAGATGCAAACAAATTAAGTTTAGTAGAGTTCAGGATCCACAGTCTCCAACACCTAGTGTACAGATTGCTTCAGTGAATGGCTTGACTGTTTCTATATGTTCAGAGCAAGAAATCACCAGATCCAGTTAAATCCTGTTTTGTAGTGCTCTTGATGCAACACTGACTAATGTCAGAAGGCTTCCCAGCTCAGTTTTACAACTGGTCTTTCAATAGAAAGAAAAAAAATAGTTATAAATTGGTTTCATCCCAAGATGGATCATTCATGTTCTTTAGAACTTTTCTAACAAGCTTCTCCAAGTCCTTGCGAGCTCTTTGTTCTTCTTCTAATGATTTCTTCATCTTTTTGTTGTCCTGTTTAACAGAGATAGAACTATTAGTTTTGGGTTGAGGGTTGGTGGGTTTTTTTTCGTTTTATTTTAAGAAAAGATCTTTTCTGACCACACACACTATCAATTACAAATTCAGAAGTGTGTTATTAGCTGTTTACAAGTACAATTTTAATAAAATTTAACACGTGACAGCTGCTTCACATAGCAAAACTAAAAACAGAGATTGAAATATTTGCTATTTATTTGAAGGACCTGAGGGTCCTTCATAATGCAAGTGCCAGTAACAAATGGCCAGTAATCTTGAATTCTTCTGCCCAAAGCTAACCAACAGCAGCAGAATGTCTCTTGTCAATGGAGGAGGGAAACGGAGCAACAAAGTAGAATAAGTATCCCCCTAAGAACTTCCTGTAATTATACCTAGCTTTAAAATCCTAGAAAAGCATCTGAAAGCTTAATGCATATTAGCTTCCTTCAGTTAGTAAGCAAACAGTTGAAAGTACCACCTCAAAAACTGTTATGTTCTCTGAGAAGTGTTTTGTGACCGAAGTTTAACACACACAAATACCAATAATCTAAGACGATTCTGAATTTCACCAAAGACCAGTGCTGAGAATATCCACTAATGCACCAAAATACCACAAACAACAAGACTGTAAGGATGTTTCTGACCGAAACACAGCAATTCTTCCATTTGTTAATCCAGAAGAGGCCAAGCTGATGCTGACAACAGTGGAGAAGCAACCCTACTGAAGATGAGCCCTCAAGACAAAGAGTCTACGGGTGTTTAACACAAGCAGGTGTGCAATCCAGGGGTCCCACTGGACTCCCATCAGCTGTCATTTACAGAAATTTCAAGAAACAGAACAAGATCAGCAGTTGCCTACATTCCCTCCTCAAATTTTTGAAGAACTCAAGAAATTTCAACCTTTTCTTGTAAGTACAGACAATTTCACTTGTTGCCAATTCAGGAATGTACTACTAAGAACAAGTGATGAATAACTGATGGAAACCACTATGAGAAGGATCCTATGTTGTGGTTTAACCTTGGACCTACACCAACTAGTGCACCATGTACTCCCAGACAGCTTTTATGCATGAACTTTGGGGTCATTTAAGACCTTCCCAGCTCAGAGATCATTTTTGCCACTTCTCCACCTGGTGACATCAGAACAGCAGACCAAAAACGGTCTTCTAAGCTAACATCCCTGATACTACAAGAAAACAAAGTTGGCCTTTAATAAGTCTTGGCCTTGGAAGATGCCAGATTACAAAGTGTATTTGAAAAGGAAAAAAAAGAAGCTGTAAGTTCAAGAGAGGGTGACTTTTTGCTTAGGATCACAGAGACATCAGCACGGCCTCAATGAGGCAGAACTTCTACCCTTTGTACAGAAGCAGCCAGGCCACAGAAATATTAGTGAATTATTAATGTTACCTGTACTGTATTTCTAAAAAGACTGCAAAATTTACAAACCTAGAATACATGTTTCAATGTAGACTGAAAACAGCAAAAATACATCAACTGTCTTGTTTCAAGAAACAGGCATAACACCCTTAAAAATAGTGGGCATATTTACAGATGGGCAAAGAATTCAGATACACATTTAGAGCTCAAAAATTGAAGTAATTTGAATACAAACACATTTTACTTTAACACAGGAGATTTTATCTGGTTTCAGTTAAGATCAGTTTGCAAATTCACGCATTGGAGAATGGGTTAATTCAATTCTTTTTCACCAGTTTTGAGAACTGAGTATGTAAAGTAGCATATAAATATGGTTTAAACAGGCTTTGTCCTGTCAATAAAAGATTTTTACAATAACTCATTTGGATATATAAAACATGCTTAGAATATCAGCTGCAACTTCCATACTAGCAACTGAAGCGTAATATACTGCAATTTCCCACATGACAAACAAGCACACTAAGCTACCTCTAAGGTTAGACCTCATTAAAAAAGGCACATGATAGGCAGAGAACAGGATTCTAGCTCCTGAAATGAGTATTTGTAGGAGGTGTTCAGGTTACTGGAAGACTGTAAATCGAAGCCTAACTAAATCCAAATAATTATATTATTAAAAATCAAGAGCAAATGCAATTTCAGTCTCTACGTACTTATTTTGCTTGCCATACACCAGAGCTAAATTTAATGCTTTAAACATTTCAAAAGTTGTAGCATCCAAAAATCAATGAAACATAACTAAATCCCCTTAGACACAGGATACATCATGCTCCTCCCAAAGGCTACTAATGACAACCACAAAAGGTGGTGGCTATCTCTCAAATTGGTGTTGCTTACTTTTAAAATTGAATCTCAGATATGAATTTAGTCCAAAATCAGAGTTAATTCCTATCGAACTAAATCAACTTACAACCTGCATTTGTTTCAATAACAAGCCTTATCTTTCCATTCTCCATGTTGCTATATATGTAGCAAGTTACTAACCTGTCTTAACTCCTGTACTTCATCCTTTAATGCATATACTGTGTCAACAAGGCTTCTAAAATGAAAAAAAGATCATCTGTTACAATGATTTTCATAATGATGTTTAAATCTACTATTAGACAAAACTGTTAAGTGAAATCTGTTCAACTTTGTGTTAAAAATTCTCTCATCCTGATTTATATTTTTTAACAGCAGCAAGGGCCCACCATCAGCTTCTCTGAACAGGTTACACTCCTCAAACACATACTGACCTACAGTAGTTCCTACATTATAGCTTTCTTTAACAGGAAGATATTCAACTTCTAAAATGCACCTTAACAAAAGAAAACAGAATGACACCACACGCCAACTAGAAAGACAACATCAATTTAATAATGAAATCTTAAAGCACTTGGAAAAACTATTTACAAGTGAAGCATAACATTCCGGGGCATAAAAGGAATAAACTGAGTACCATTTGCAGAGAAGTTGGGCAACAAGCATTTAAATGAAGGCCAACTGCACTCACAAGGACTGGCAGCATACTCCAAGCACCTACATCCCCTTCTGTTTATATACCATGCACATTGCAGTAAGAAATGGGAGGAGGAAGAGAAGTGCAAAGTTTACGGTTTTAATCTATCATTCATTAAATGTTCTCTTACTTCTCTTCTATAACAGTCTGACCATTACTTTTAGTTTCTTCTACAATGATTTTCTCTTCTTCTGGAAGCAGGACTTGGGGAGCTGATTCTTTGCGGGAACCTGTTGTAAAAATAGATTACAAAATGAGAAGCTAGCAAGCAGCACTGGGGAATTTTAATCATTATTTCATTCATTGCACAATACACCCACATGACCAAGGTATATCACTTTCAATTCCCCCCCCTTCCCTTCATACACACAGATTACTGATGTTTTTATATTCGAAACCACAGCCTTACAATTAAAAACTATAGTCTAACATTTCCATCCTGGTGATGATAACTCCCCTGCATTATTGATGGGGATGCTACACAGTTCAATGAATAGGGCACTGGTCAACTATCAGCAAGATCTATACAAATTCACCATAGCTGAGTCAGAGAAAGATAATTATGATTAAGAAGTAGCAATTTAAGCCTCAAGGACAGATTCTGATCTCACACTGATACAAATCCAAAATGGTACAATGACAGAAAAGTTAAAAACATTTTCCCCAGAACACCACAAACAACACAACTGCATATGTGCATAGACACAAACATGCACATATGCTTTAAGACAATCTTTTAGTCACATAAATGTAATACAGCCACCATATTTTAAAATAAGCTTTCAGAAGTACTTAACGGCTTAACAAACAGTCAAAACCTTCTAACATCTTCAGAATACTTTCTATAATCGTTACAGTTTTTAACATTAAGATAATTCATACAAATTCTAACAGTGTAGCTCATAATAGAAGAATCCAGTTGCTGTGCATCCATTCATAAAGTATGTACTCTAAAAACACTATTTAGACTGCAACAAATTTTTTAAAGATGGGCTGTAAACTTCTGCCTAAACATTTGTCTAGAATTCAAATACCATAGATAAGACATTAAAATTCTTGCATATTTTGACTAATATACAAGTATTAACAATGTATGCTTGCCTACCAATTCACCGTAATGAGTTTTTACTAATGAAGAATATCTCCATTCCAGCACTGTTTGCACAGCTCAACAGGTACGGCAGAGTTACATGCCTCCAGGAGACAGCCCCCTCTGAACAGCTGTTTTGTGATAACAGTGTTTCTCTTTCAAAATTCATGATAAAACATCTGACCTCAGCACATCAAGTTAAAGAAATTCAAGCTCACTGGGAAATCCTGACTTTCTAACAGCTGCAGTCTCGTGTTCTAAACAATGAGTTTGCAGAGAACATAGTTTTGCAGCACATATTAAGCTCATTAGACTGTTGTTTAAACATCTGTAACGTAGAAATTAGTTTCCTTAACCTGAAAGTAAAGATCAAACATATCAGTACGTGATGGTCAAACTTCATGGAATAAAGACAACTGAGCATCTGAGAACAGAATCTCGTCCTTGAAAGCCATAAGTTCTTGATCTTGCGAAGTGAACAAAAACTTTGGAATTAATAACCTGCCTCATTTTGCAGGGAAGGAGCAATCTACAAAACAAGCACAGCAAATCAGGCTCATGGATGTTTGCTTGCACTATCAATCTTTAGCTGCAAAAAAGTCACTTTATGTTTATTTTAATTAATTGGTTACCTGTTTGCTTCATTTGACGTAACATTTTGCATTTAATGAAATGTTACTTGAGGACATTAGTTGGCACCAGCTACTACTAAATGCTGAGTCTCTGTATCAATCCTTATAATCCAATACAGTTATATACACACGCATGTAAACACACGCAGTTATATACACATGCATGTAGAAGTCTACACTGGCATATCCTCATCCATGTACAATAAACAATACTACTGAGAATACGCTGCTTCATAAAAATAAAACCAACACCAACATTATACACACAATGAGACCCACAATACACATACACACAGTTACACAAGGTAAACTGCTCATGCGAACACTGGCTTTCCTGTGCCACAGAATATCGACTACTGCAGAATTCAGGACATCACAAGTGTGACCCTCACCTTCACTGCTCTCATGTAAACAGAAAGTTGCTTTTTTAAACCCCGTATGCACTTGCTAACTATCAAAGGCACAAACACATAGGTCATGTATCCTGCAACAAAGGAGGATCTTGTTATCAACTGAGTAAGTGCACAGAAGTGTCAGGTTTGATGTGTCAGGTCCCATTTGAGGTGTTAAGTTCAAAAAGCAAAATGAAGCTATGTAATTGTCCTGCTTTTTTTGTAACATTTATGCCTAAAGCCCTTATTTCTTCTCTGCATCTCGAATGAACTTCAAACAGAGCATTACTTGGTAACTAGTATTCAGCAATATACCATATACTAATCCTTCGGCCTCCACTAGCTTCTCAGGGACTCCATGTAACTATTTCTCTTCAGAAAGGATTACAAGCTACATCTCTAGGACTTGAAGAGGGACCTGCATTCGAGTACATTGCAGGCTGTGCACAGAGCTGTACTAAGGTCAGGAAGTTGTCACAACTTCAGTAATCCTAAATACTGAGCACACAAGAATCCCTAGTCCAAGCCAAACAGGCAAAAAGAGCAGGTTCAACTGACCACCAAAAATTATGCTCCTAAATCTCCTGAGATGATTCAACCAGAAGTCCTAGGTTAAAAATAACTATAGTGGGAAAAAAAAATCTCAAGCTTTGCTAGAGAGGTTTTGTTTTGTTTTACTTTTTGGTGGAGATGTTAAATGAAGGGAGAAAGAGGGATGTGCAGCAAACTCAAATGACTGCTTCATGATCAGAGAAATATAAAAGCTGAGGAAGCTGCCATAACTTTTCAGTAGGGAAACTCATAAATCCAGAATCTTAGAAGAATGAGACATCCCATGTTGAGTGCTTCATAATTAAGACAAAGGCAAAATAAGAAACCACTGACATTCAACCTTCACTTAGATGCCAGCAAGAAAGTAAAGATTCAGATTTAGTATTTCCCAGCCCTAGAGTGGTAAAAAAAAGGGTTACAGTGCTTCTTACCAATACTGCACCCTAAATTGGAGATTGAGTTTGCTAAACCAATAGAATCAAGCAAACAGTAATACAGCCCACCAGGCCTTGAGGCCTTTGCAACACACACACGTGACACACAGAGCAGGCCTGTCAGTAGCAAGCAGTTCTCAGCACGTCTAAAAAAAAAAATAATAAATGAACCCATTAAGCCAATAACAATATGAAGGCGGGTATTCATTTCCCATTCTTTATGCTGTTAAATTCAGGCCTCATTTCAAAGCTTGCTCCCCTCATAAGTCAGAGAACAGAGCTCTTTCTTCCACTTAGCCATTCTGAGCAGAAGGCACAACCCGGGTACTTTACATTCACAGTGATGCTATGAGTTTGCCTTCTTCCCAGAGATTATGAGGTTCTACTTTAAGCTAGAAAGTTAGATTCGCAGTGATGGTGGTTCACTTAAAAAACAAACAAACAAACAAAACCCTGAGAATTTCAGACCATCGAGTTTTTACTGCACAACTTCAAAGAATTGCAATTTTATACTTTTTCATACCCTTAATATGATTGGGGAAGGGGGTGAATAATGCACAATAAAAGGTCAAAAATTAGAAATAGTATTTACGGATGTATAGCTGTTTTCTACCGACTTTACTAAGCTCTCTACATAAGCTACATAGATCTAAATTATTTCAAGTTTCAGAGGACAGAAGTCTGACTTGCCACTGAAAGACAAATACAAGGGCAGCCCCAAGAGTAATGCCTCCTATCTTATTTGTTGGCCCACAAAGTCAGAGGAGGACGTTGGTGGTTCAGCAGCAGGGGTTGAACCTTCCCACCAATACCCCATTACACGTTGTTGCCCTGCAACAGATGGCAGCAGATGGGCAATGTGACACACGGCGCCTGACACAGAGCTGCGTAAGAGGCAAAGGTGTGCAAAGGAATTCCTCCCTGCAGGAAAAAAACTGCCATTCAGAGACACGCGCTGAATATTTATGGACAACAAATGGTGGATGTGAGATGTGAGCACCCTGAGGCACTGAGCAGTGCGTTGCAGCAATGGTGACAGCAGCATGAAAGACAAGCCACGCTCCTGACAGTCATGCAGACCATTAAATGCATTGCCCAGAGCCTCTTGTTCATTGATGGCAAAATGAGTAGCTAATGATGGTGATGTTATTGAAAAAGTGTTCTGTAGCTGAGAATTTGCTCTATCAAATAATATTGTGCTCTTTGTATCTGTTACAGCTTTCATGGAAATTAACAGGAGGCATTGCTTTCAGAGCGACCTATGCATGTTCATACACAATTTTTAGACAAGTTAGCCACTGGGTGTATTCAGACACATCATTTCCCTGTGGAAGGAAATGTTTAACAGAAAATAAGAATTACTTATTTAGAACACAGTTTTTCACTGTATTAGTTACATTCAAGATGCTGAAGTGGATAAGCAGACCTGCAAAATAATCTTCTGTTTCTCACTGCATTTGATGTCAAAGCTTCCAAGCTGTGTGTGTTGACATTAAAAGAATTGAGAGGAAAAGAAAGGCAATCCTTCACGCTATAGATCTGTCAGAAGTCAAAAGGGAGTCTGCCCTTAAATATCTTGTGCAAAAATACACAACTTCTTTGTGAAACCTTCAGGTAGCAAAAAAGTCTAGCACAAAAATGGTGTTTGTTTGTTTGTTTTTGTTTTTTTTTTTTTTTTACTAGCAGCAATTCACAACTAGGAAAGAACCCACAAGACTCAAATGACAGATCTAGGCAGCTTACAGCAAAACATTTTGATGAATAAAAAGAAAATAATTAGACTTAAATAAACATACAACTCCACACCCAAACTTTAGTCACTTCAGAACAGAATGAAGAGTTTGAAAGACAGGTATATTATTTGAAGTGGCAAATTTTTCAAAGACAATAATTTTAAAGAGTTATCCCACAACATTTACTACATTTTCATTAAGCAATACAAATAAAAATGCAACCAGAGGGCTAAACCTAAATTTAAGTCACAGCAAAAAAAAAAAAGAAAAAAAAAAGACCTTTCAACAGAACTAGATTTTGTATTTTGTTCATTTGATAGAACTATTTTGTTCTATTAATACATCTATTAAATGATTATTTTGCTTTAAAACACTCAAATATGACTTTTTTTAAAAATAGAAACACAAGATGACTTGCTTTCAGAGAAAAATGTATGATATTAAATCCTGAAAATGAATAAAGTTGTAGAAACATTGTAGAAATCAATATATTCATAAACTGTATCTCTGGTAACAGGTTCTGCAGTAGCACATTTGAAATTGTTCCAATTATTCAACTGTGCTTTTATTGAAAATATACCAATTCAGAAAATGAAAAAAGATAATTAAGGAGGGAGGGAGACTACAAAAGTGTTCTATGAGTGACAAAATTTCTGAACAGTTATTAGAAAATAAACACCAAGACACATACTGCACATTATACGGAATTCCCTGCAGTTGCCAATTACATTAAACAAAGATTATACACAACTCAAAAAAAGCTTTTTCACTTCAGCATTTGATTCCTCTATGGAGAAGGCAGGGAAGAAAGGAGGTACTGGGAGAAAAGGGAGTCAAGTGTTAAGTTACCAGTTACGCTGTACTTTCCCCCTGTGTAATAATCAAATATTAAAGTCATAGTCTAGCAAATGCAAAATTTATTTCAACTGTACATAACAGATGTCCTTTTTTATATAAAACAAAACACTTAATTGATATATGCAACCACAAACAATATGCATACTGTACAGTACAATGCAACATTCAGATATACATCCATTTTGTATTTTCAAAAGGCAGTTACCTACTGAAAATGGCTTCTCCCATTCACAAATGAAGTGCACAATATATATTAATTTTTCTATGTTTTACGTCACTATATACACATTACTGTGTTTTGGCAAGATTATGCAAAACACGCTATTAATACTCGTTGGCTTCAATTTATAGCAAATACCAATTCATGGGAACACTGTGTAAGCCATGTGAAGAGGGGCTGACAATGGCTTGAACCTACCTTCTAACTCAGATTCTCCATCCTTCCAGTATATTTGTAACTGTACACAAATATTTTACAGAATTGCATAAACAGAAGGTACTATTATTACCATGACTAAAGTTCCACAAAAATAGAAACACTGAACCTTTGGACTGAATACCACCATTTCCACTTTGCTTTTTTTTTTGTTCGTTTGTTTTTTTAAGCATGTTGCAGTAATACTTCTGATCAATTCACAACAGTTAGTGGTCTGTAACACTGCATGATTTAAACGTAATAAAGTTAGAGATCGTAATTATGAACTTTAACTAAAATTAATGACTTAAGTGCTACAATAATTAATGGTGGTAAACCGTCAAAGCTTTGGTGCATAGAAAGTCAATAAAATCTTCAAATCTTGACAACAAAACATTCTGCATGATATGGAAATTCAAGTGCAGCAACTGTATTTCCAACTTATTTTACACTGTAACATGAAACAGACATAAAAGAATTATCATTGATCTAATGCAGAAAACATTACTTAACTGGAACACCACAGCTCAACAGGGTAAAAAAAAAAAAAGCAATCCAAACTTTCCATATATGTAGAACAAAAACTCAAAGGAAAAAGGGAAGTGAAGTGGCTTACAGATGCACTGTGGAATGGTATGGAGCACACACACGTTTTTCATTTCTCTAAGCAACAATCCTCCTCTTAGGAAAAAGTTCAACATATACAAGTTCCTGGCCATTCAGTTAATATACGACTGCTAGTAAGATGTGCCCCTAAAAATTCTGTTTAGTAAGCATTACTGCTTTTGTTAGTCAAGCCTTCAAATACAAGCAACAGTGATAAAAAGATAAAGGAGGTGATCAAACAAAGCAAGATGAAATGCAAATCTACAAATATTAAGTGCTTTGAAATAGCTTCTCCATGTCGATAACCTCGTGTAATCATTCATATCTAGCAATTACCAACTTTCTGATCATGTAACCTGCACGATGGTATTAATTACTTGTAAACTTTTAAATGGAGAGATCAAATCCCCAGGCAGCAAATAATAAGCAGCAATTAACAGCATCATAACTACTCTGAATTTGCTCAGAGTAATAGCTGTACACTGGATAACACTTAAAGGAATAGAGGAATTGCATTCAGAGATCCTGATGAAAATGAGAACTATTTCTGTCCTTTTATCATCTGCTTTTCTCTAATGCTAAAGAAGATCTGGAAAGCACTTTATTTTTGTTTCAATCCCAATTGCATCATCCACAAGACAGAACACACACTTCACCCCAGCCATGCCCCAGGTACAGGTTCAAGACCACCAGCTGTGTATAAGGTGTTACAGTTCTCTGAAAAGCCAACATGATTGTAGGTGAAGAGCTGTTGCTGAAAACAAACCTGCTCGTGAGGAAAGTTACAAGACACAAAATCTGTCACAGACATGCTCCAAACAGTAAAACCAAAAGCCAAGCATTCTGTTTTCAAGAACTTTGTACAAGCCAGTTTGATTGCAGTTGTACCTAGAGTTTCAGGTGCTGAACACTTGAGCTTTCAGCTGAGGAACGATTTTCATCTCGTCTTTTCAGGAAGAATGGTCATTTGAAAGCTGTGTATTTTAACAGGCAAGTAAACATCTAAACCCTGTTTTCTGCCACACTACTGCATACAGTAAAGTGACAATATGACCACGGGTAATATGAGATTATCAAAACACTGCATGTAATGAGCATGGACTGCTGGGTTTTCATGACAAGCGCCAGATTGAGGGTGAGAGGGAGAGCAGTGCAATCCTTCATATAGACGTCTAAGCAACAACAAAGAGACAGCAGTATAAAAACAAGTTCTCATGGATTAGCAAACGCTTTTCCAAACAAATGGGCCAGATATGTGAATCTGAATGATTTCATAGCTCTTGTACTGTTAATTTTAAACCGTATTTTTCTTACTACCAGCTCCATGTTTTGTTAATAATATGTAGAAAATTCAACAGCTATCACTGAAGTATTTCCATATTGCTGGCATTCAGCTCATAAGCCAGTATGGTTTCAGTACAAAATACAAAAATGTGCTGTATTCAAAAGGAGAAAAAAAAAAAAAGAAAAAAGGACCTGTTGCTACACTGACCAAAACCAGAAGTAAAGACCATTCAGAGCTACAAATTAATATCTGTCACTTAAAAAACTCTCAAGAAATATCATCCTTGGCAGGATATACACTTTTTAGAACGACTTATTTGTATGTGCATCGGCAATAGAGCCTTCCACCAGGTATAACTGAAGTTTCAGAAGCTCCCTCAGAAGTTGTTAAAATATCACATTAAAGAGACAAGGAACAGCAAGAAAACATCTAAGAAAAGCAGGCTGTGATACAACAAGCATTTGTTAAGAAAAAGCTCAGAAGTGCATTAGTTCTGGTGAGAGATATATGAGCAACAGCTCTTACGAGATGTAGACCCCATTCTGTAACTATGGGCTGTCCATATACTGTCATAGTCAGAGTCTTCTGAGAGGTCTGAAGGCTCCAAACGAGAAAGACTACTGCGACGACCCAAGGAGTCTAGACTTGATTGGTCATCATCAGCCAAGACGTGATTATGCATCAGGTCAGTGCCTTGCCATGCTAAGGATGTATAGGTGAAATGAAATGGTGGATGTGGATAGGCAGAGGTGGGATGAGGAGGAGAACGTAAGGAATAGCCACAACCAAACACATGAAATAAAAGCAAAAGGTGATGGGAAGAGAAGGAAAAGAGAAAATATTGTTAAAAAGGCACCAAAGCTTTTTCTTGTTTTCATTTTCTTTTTTGTTTGGGATTCAGGTATAAATTACACTCACTGTAATAGTTTTTGAACTGTTACAATAAAATTTTTGAAGCGTTTTTTAAGCTTACAAGCAGTCTCAGTTGAGAATTTTAAGTAACCAAAATCTTGTTTGAGGGTAGATTTTTTTGGATGAAGGAGATCAGTTCTTTTCAAGCAAAGAATCAGTTCTGGTCTGGGGGCAATCTGATCTGGGACAGAGCAATAAACACAGCAAGCCAGCATGACCCAGTGCTAATGTGAAAAGCAATAGCCCCTTCCCCATTACACATCCATACCTTCATCCTTTCCCTCCCTTGCAATGACACAGCCATTTGTACAGCTGCTTGGTGAGCCAGGTCAGGGAACAGCTTCAAATGGTAATTAACCCTTCATTTTTATTTTTCAGGTAGACAAATAATTTCCCACCAGCTCCCAACACAGCCACATAAGTGCTTGTGTCACTATTACAAAGGGGAAAATGCAGGGGGAAAAAAAGCAAGGTTCTCATGCAGAGCAGAGCTGCCAAACTTTCTACATGTGCAGCACCATCTCATACCCACTCAAAGGGATTGCCAAGCTGAAGCTTCTTTGTGCCTGCAACCCTGTTATTTGTTTAACCAAGTAGAAACTGGATTGACAGAAAAACAAGGCCAAGAGACTAACAGCAATACAGTCTGGTGCCTCACATACCCTCACACACCTATTCTAACTGGCCTCTATCTGAATCTGTATTTAGATACTTTAAATGCTTAGAATAGTTGATAAAGATGATTAAAGACACTTTCTCTCACCTATTTGCCCTTTTTGATTTTTTTTGTTGCTGTGTTGCTATTTTGTTCTGGTTGTGTTGTTTTGTTTTTTAAATAAGAAAAAGCCTGGCAGTATCTGAAAACTGAAACTATGTAAGTGGCCATGTTACAAGCCAAAATCTGCATGACACTACAAAAGATTTAAGCCTTCATTTGGAATAGAAATGTGAAGTAAACACAGGATATAAGCAACAGAGGAAACTAACGGTTATTTTATTTGCATATATAACTAATCCCTACATCCTCCCCACCTTCAAAAAGAAAACTCCCATCCAACGTGCACTGGTGCCAAAGCAACACAAAGCTGGCATTGCCAAGGGCAGCACCTCTGGGGCTTTGCATTAAGATGCAGCTAATAGAAATACCGAATCAGTGATGGGAGGGCCAGGTAGAGAACTAACACAGAGGTAAGCCATTGACATGTAAAAGTGGATGGCAATTGCACTGATGGGCAATTCTTTCATTCTGTTTTTCTACACTGACCAATGCTTCCACAGAAAGAATCCCAGCATCATTTTTCCCCCAGTTTCCAATTCCCATCTACAAAGGGATCTTCAGAAACTTGATGTCTTAGATGGCAACATTACTCTTTCCAAACAAAGCAGCAAAACACTTGTTTCTCACTGCAATTATGAGCAAATAAAAGCTGCTGACTTCTGATGTATGCAATGATACCTAACTGCACCATGTATATTTCTTAAATATACATAGAAAGGAAAAAAAACAGCAAGCAAAATATCATATCCATTAGATGCCTGCACACACAACTGTGCAAGTGCAAATGTTTCCCCAACCACTTCTTGTCACAGTATCCTTGAATATAATCAACAAATCCAATACAGTTAACAGCAATGTCTCAATTTTGTTGGAACAACTGCGTATCTCCAGAATTTTGAACACATTAATTTCCTTTTATCCAATTCAACACACTACAATAATGACTGCAGAGCCAGAAAACTGGTCAAACATTAATAAAAAATAATGTTATAGTAGCCAATTTGTCAAACTGATAATTATCACCTCGGAGATCTACAGTTCATCGAGATCAAAAATTAAAATGAATGTTTTAGCTGTTACTTCAAATGCTTTAAAAGCCTAATACAAGGGTTATATTCCCATTTTTGAAGTACACACAAATACAAAATTTTGCAGTTTTCAAGGTGATAACAATAAGTGAACATGTATTATGTAAATATGTGATCTAGGCCTGCAACTGCACTCTGAGACTTCTCACCTGTCTGTAGAAAGTGCTTCTGCTTGGACATGGGCACAGAGACCTGTGGCTAGCAGTAACAGTGTTTAATACTAATTTAAACAATAGACTAGGAGTGAGGATATATCTATCCTTCTAATTCCTGACAATAGCAAAAACAGCCAGGTACTCCAGAATCATTATACAGCATTTCAAGGACACCAATTAAATCCTTAATCATCAGTGTGAAAACAAACCTAACAGCATTTTCTCCTTTCTTGTGTAAGCAGAACACATGCTGATGGACTCCCCCTGCTTTGAGCAACATTTTACTTACAACACAGAGGAACTCCACATGGCAACCTTGATTTGGATTAAATGAAGGAGGACCCCAGAGGCACGTTACAAGTTTTCAATACGCTAGATATTGATCTGAGAAACTATAAATGGCTTTAAGCAACAGAAAGATCTCAGAACAGTTTCTCCTGAAGTTACGACATAGGATTAAAGTTTGTAATTAATACTAAAAACAGTGGCTGGCAATAAAAAAAAGCTTTGTACAGGTTCACGTTACTTTTCCGTAAAAGAAAACTGTTGAACCAAATAAGACAGAAGAACACTTCTCCACAAGTTATTCTTCGTTCCTCAATACTTACCAATAACTTCTTGAAATTTACCAAAAACCACATTGGACAGCCGTCATATTCTAGCAAGACACCTCAAAACCTCTGGTTCATTGGCAATTTTAAATCCAAGTAGCCACTTGTAATTTATTTTAAATAAGCATTGTAAGACCCATATAAATATGAACCTTGGCTTCCAAATACATAATCGCTCAAGCATTATTACTAAGCCAAAATCAGATTATTAACTTATTTCACGTCCAGCTTGCTGTTTATAAAGTTCTGAGACCGCTCACACTACACTTATCATTTTTTAAAACAACCTGATACGTGGCTTAGTGAGTCGTACCGGTATTTTCTAACTTACTTGAGTTTAGTGTTTGACGTGTTTTGGCACTTGTGCAATATGCTTCAATGACTTTAAGAATTTGAGCATCTTCTTCTAAAGCAGCTGTACCTAGAAAACAACGGAAAACAACAAAATTTTAAATATGGGCATGTGTTTCTTACTACAGACAGGCCTTTGTAAACAATGTTTGTTTAAAGCTAAATTCTACATATTTGAATTGAGACCAAAGTTTAGTCTAATGAAACCTTTAGAATTCTTAATCATTTCAAAAATCAAGCTTCAATGACTGAAAGCAACAACGGAAAGAGAAATTGCTATAAAGAATATAATGCTTTAAACATCATGATGTAATAGTATCATCTGTGAACCACAGCATACAGATTTGTTCTTTGTAATTTATTATTGTGACAGTAAAGCCAACTGTTCAATATTTTGTCAGGATTGCCTGACAAACTAACTGCTGAAGTATCTTGACTAGGTATGGTTCACCCATAGTTCAAGAGATGCAGGCATTCCAAAGTGCAAGTTCCCTCTCTTTCAAGGCAAGAAAAATAATTGAGTTTTGTGTTGCAGTTACAAAGCAGCACCATATCACTACCACAGCAAAACAAGTATTTCACTTCTGAAATCAGTACTGAGAGGACGCTCAGCTGGAACGCCTTTCTTTCATTTGTCTGCTATAAAACACAAACCTATCTATCAGAAAGCTTTAGTTTTGGTAGAAATCCTTCAATGGAAAACTCTTACATCTCCACAGGCTGAAGGAGCACTACAACAGAACTTAAGCTTCTAATTACTGATGGGGAAAAAAATCTCATTTTAAAGGTGAAGCTTCTATTTATGCCTGATGCTTAGGCTGATGAAAACAGCAACTCACCACATGCTATCTTCTACAGAGAGGAATAAGAACAAACTAGAAAAAAGTGCCCTTTCATATTACAGAGAGCCATAACCATACTTAGCTACAAAGGTTTTTAAGAGTTTGGACAGATTTAAAGGATTTAAGGATGATTTAAGATTTAAGGATGCCTCTTATTTGGTCAATTCATAATAATTTTTTAAAAATTATGGAAGGGAATCATGTTGAAATGAAGTGTGAGCCAGATGACAAACAAATATTTAGAAGCTTCTTTCAAGCTATAAACTTTATCATGAAAGAAAAACATACCCAGAGATTCATGGAGTAAATGAGGGCCATGACTCACACGCATATACACCATCCAAGCCCATACACAGACATTTAGTTTCCATGTAATGCTGAGTATCAGAGCTTGTTACTACCTCAGCTCTCACTGATACTTTAAAAACTCAGTTAACTTGGGTTTCTATCACCAAGATATACTTCTAATCTATTCTGAACAAACAGAAGCTTCTCCGCATATTTACTAAAAGACTATACACATGCTGCACACTGAATGCAATAAAGCAGACCTAAAATACTGTAGCAAGTATCAGGGACATGACTAGAATGGAGTGCATTGTATAATGCTGGACAATAGACAACCAATTTACTGTCATTTTGTAGTTAAATCTAATTTTCTTCCTTATGCCAGTAACAAGATGAAAACTAACAAAATCCTGAAAAGCTGTCTGATAGAAGGAGAGACAATGTTAACAATAACATACTTCATGTATTCAGCAGTCAAGGCACATGACTTAAGAAGCTCACGAGCAAAGGGCAGACACAAAAGCAGAAGTTGGAATAAAAGGTTCTGGCCTTCAAGTGTGAACATCAGCTATTTTAAACATCTTATCTTTTAGTGACACAAGCAATTGGATCATCCATTCCCACAAATGTACAAGGCACTTCAACACCCTACATCACCTGACCTAGTCTGCTTGTCTGCTTCAGGACCAAGCACCTTTCTCTGACCACATAGTAGCCTGCAATGATTGGATCTCATAGAACACATCTGATCAGAGGGTATGAGTGCCACCTAAAGTAAAGGTACCAAAAACAGTTACTTGTTGGTGGGAGCAATAACGTTATCCAAGTGGTAGAAGTTAAAAAAGAATTTCTAAACATACTGAGATTAAACTTGCAAGCTATTTAATTGCTAAATAGAAAAAGCAACACAGTACAAGTGCTGCTGACAGACTCATAATTAGAAATAAATAAATCTCTGTGCATCATCCTGCTATTTCTGCCTTCCTCCCCACACTTTTTTTCCTCATCTACGTACACACATTAACACAGAAAAGCAGGAGGCCTCCCACCTAGCCTTGGATAAGTTCCTGTATTCTATAGTCAACTGCATGACTCTAGAAAGCTGCTTATGCCAGTGTGACATAAGTGCCTAAGGTGAATAAATGAAACAGTCCTCTGTAGATACCTACCCTCTTTCCCCTGCCAGGGGAGAGGAAACCAGACTATTTAGACTGTACATCTAACTTGTAAAGATATTAAACTGATGTTAATTCCAGTCTTTGTACTATGCAGATAATTGTTCAAGTCTCTTACTTTTTCTCAGTGCAAATTCTTCATCTGATGGCTTCCGTTCTGGCTTGCGTTTGGGAAGCAGCTTTTTCATGGTTTTAGGGCTCTTACTTAGATCCTGTGTGGGGAGAATAAAAAAAATAAAAAAAAAGAGTAGAGCTTCTCTAAAATATTTCAAAGGTTAGTTTCTAAGACACGTGGTGCCATAATTCAGTTTATTAATATTCTTTGGCACATGAGATTTGCCTGAACCAGCTCGTTTCGTTTCTATCCCTCCACCAACTATACACTAAGTTGGGTATTTTATCTGTTCTGTGAACAGAAATATACAAAAAAGCTGCAGCAAAAGCATGCAGGCTGTTTGGGAACTGGAGCAAAAGCAGCACAAAAGCATATATATGCACTTTTTTCCCTTAACCTTTGAAGAAACAACCCATTTAATTTGTCTACTTAGAAGCAGGTTTAAAAAGGACCAAAAAAGGAAGCTTGGGAGGTAGTGAGCATTTCTGAATGTTTGGAGCTTTATCAGAACAGACCTACAGCAAAAGAAATACAGCTACAAACAGCATTTCTGCTCTAAATATAGTCATGCTGATTTAGAGAAACAATGCTAACTTTGAGAAACTGCTAATTTTACAGGAACAAAAAGGAATATTCTCATCTACCCCTTACCTTACAGGAATGAGCCATCCTCTATAAAAGTACAGAACTAGAGGGTAAAAAGGTGAATGGGCAGGACAGACTGGAGATGATGAAGATAAACTGAATGCTGTCATAGGTTAAACACCTGAGTGTTTAAACACATGAGTAAAACTTAACCATATTGGAGAATGCAGCGCTGTACATAAAAGACACGAAAACAATTTAACTTACAAAGAGATGAATATGTAGTAGAGCTAAACTGGAGAACTTCTTGTAGCAACCAAGCCCAAATACTAACCACTTGATTGAAGGCCACCTATCACTTACACCCAGCTGCTTAGTGGATGTACAAAGCGAGGAAAAAAGACAGTCAAAACTGTCACAAATGCACACCCAGCACAAACAAAAAGAAACCAACCATACTGCACTAGGTTGTGTTTAAACTGCAAATTCACATGCCTTCAAAATAACATTGTTCTCTTAGCATCATATGGTTGGAGACAAAAAATGTTCACAAGCATAACTTTAGGCAGCTCGATCCAGTAGAAGGTGTCCTTGCCCACGGCAGGGGTTTATAACTAAATGACTTTTAAGGTCCCTTGCAACCCAAACCATTATGTGATTCTATGATTCCAAGTTTACTACTCTTTTTGGGTCCTGTTGCTTTGTACTAAATTAGAATTCTAAGAATGCATTACAGAAGAATACTAAACCTGAAGATATCACCGTGACAGACAACATTCAGTATTCTCCATTCTCCTTCTTACAAGCAGACCTTCATACATAAACCTAATAGTTTCTCAGTATTTACAAAGCCACGCACAGTGTAATGGAAAGACCAAATTAACCTACCCCCATCGTTATTTCTCTTAGAGCAGATTTCTGCTTCATACCATATGCTAATTAAAAACTACAACAGCATCTTAAAATCTAAGCTGTGAACCAAGAGCCCATTATACCCCCACAGCTGTTCAGAATGATTTCATACTGCACTTTCAAGAACCGAAGATCCCTTATACTAGATGCTCCTCAGTATGCTTAGCAAGCAGCTTTGCAGTAAGCTGGAATGATCAATTGCTAGTTTTTGTTGGATGGGTTTAAAAAAAAAAAAAAAAAAAACTTCTTAACAAGATGAAGTTGGAAAATAAGTGGAAATACCTGGCAGGGAGGAAAAGGTGTCAGCATACGCTCCTAACAAACCTTTGAATCTTCTGAGCCATGAGAATAAATGTCTACTTGAAATGAACAGCTTTCACTGTCCATTACCACTGATTCAGAGCTAACTCTTAATGCACACACACAAAACTGTAAAATGTTGGTATGTGAGTTACATTTCTCACCGTAGTCAGGCTATGCAGTAACATTTTTTGTCTGCTGCACCTCACCTCTTTGTAACAAAGTGCTGCTGAAGGCCGTAGTGGAGGTGCGGGCCGTAAACAGCTCAGACTCCAGGGCTTGGGTGTTTTAGGAGGTTCCAGAGGTCCCCAGTTTATCGTGGTATGTGGAGTCCCGTGATGTGACGGATGAGGGAGAGTGTGATATGCAGGAGTCAGTGGTATCTGCTTGCTGTCCGAGTGCTTGCTGGAGGGTGTCACTGGATGGGAAGGAAGCTGTCAAAGACAATGGTTGTGGGAAGGGAAAGAAAGCATGTCATCATCATAAAGGCAAACTATCATAAAGATCCAGTCAAAATCTCTCATCTAGTCCTTTTGTCTATTACTTAAGAGTTTTTAAAATTTTAATACTATTTGGAAAAACTGAGCATAAAAACATTTTGCCTAACACATAGAAAGCATGCATTAGAGAAGGAACAGCTTCAAGCAGCCTGGCTCCCATTTCTTTCACCACAAGGCTCAGAGTTAAATTAAGATCCATTCACATCAACTCCAGAATACAAAAGATGCCAACAAAAGGAAATTGTTTCTCCACAGCCTCAAGTACATCATCATCAGTTAAAACCTACTATTCCAAGGATACTTAAAAGATGATGACACACTATGCAGTCAAAACAGAACTGCTTTTTTTCTTTTAACCTTGTTAAACTATTATACCAAAAACTAAACATCCTACTCTTCCCTCATGCAATTAAAAACAAAACAATATTTTGAAGCAAACTGTAGTTGTAGCATATAGGTTTTGCTACTAATAGTCAAAGAAAATGCTTAACATAGCAGCACATTTGCCAGATAACCTAGTTCTGTACACACTACTGATTCTCTTCAATGACAAAGTGTTTTCTTACTGTGTGAGATGGCACAGAATGAGGTTTAATGGTGGGATTCCCAACAGTTGTGACTTTGGTTTGTTTCTGCAGGTGATCGACCCACTCATGCAAATCTTGTTGGTTGTTACATGACACTAATATCCTTTCAATCATAGTTCCTAGGTGACATAAAAATAAGATGTAGGAAACCACAGAAGAACAACTTAGTCAAACTGACACGATAACACACGATGCTCATTTCATAAAATATTATATTCATCAATTACTATGCAAAAAATGTAATCAGTATTTTTGGAAAAACAGCAACATTTTTCTATGTGATAACATTTCTTCCACATATTTATTTGTCTATGAAGCAAAAGAATTATACCTGGTTTTCTCTCTTTGATAATTAAACACAATTATTACAACTATTATATGTAAGAGACAGGACCACCCTCAGCTCCAAAGGGTGAATCCAGTAGCTTTATACTTTTCCATCTTTCCCAGGAAAGCTAATGTATTGCCTACAATGTCACCCGTTAGTCCGTAAGCTTCAGTATAGGAAAAATCATAAAGTATTGTTCAGAGAAGGTCTTGAGGTCAGACCAAATCTAATATGAAAGATGAGGCAAGAGTCACTTGGGAACACCTCTGGAAAATTTTACCAAGGGTTACCTCTAATTTCTACAGTTAAGTCCATTTTAACCCACCACATTCCTCACCCGAGGTCAGCTTCATAGCTATTATCTCAGAAGAACAAGTACCATCAGCTGCTTTTTCCCTCCACCTCAAAGCACTGATGTGTTACACTGCCTGCCACTTGAGAGCCTCAATATTACTTCAGTGAAACACAACCTGCTTGGAGGCAGAAATGATCCAGGAAACAAATGAAAGTGTAAGTCTCCACTGTGGGGATTTTCCTCCAAAAGTATATTCCTAAGATTCTGACTTTATTGGGCCCAGGGAATTAAGTTACATGCTAAAACAAATCACTTAATAGACAGAAAACATCCAAAACAAGCACTACTGCAATCGTGAACAGCAGAGCTACGGAAGGTCTCTCAGCAAAGAGACTGACCATTTCTAAAGGAAAGATCTTGACTAAAGCTCCTCCAGACTGTCTGAAATTACCCTCCTTACAGAGAGCAGCACAGTCCAGTAAACAGCAAATAAAAATATTTACAACTAGTACCTGATATTTCAAATGCATTTTTATGGTTTTCACTGTCTTCTAGCTTTGTGATAGTCATTCCAGTCATTGGTAGCTTCCCCTTAAAAAAAAAAAAAAAAAAAAGCAGTTAATGATGAAGTTGAAGCCAAAATACACCAAAAAATTACCAAGTAAAATGTATACAACTTTAAGTTCTGAATGAACACAGGTGCAACACAGTAAACTGGCAATCACACAAACACATGCTGATGGATTTAAAATATTTTCAAATCCACACAGGCACTTTGTAACAAAAGTTTTCAAGCCAAACACCTGCAAATAACACCTGTGACTTTAATGAGTCTATGTGATACCTATGCAGGCTACAAATCCATACAAACGTAACAGCAGTCATCCATCATAGTCTCAAGTTCTGGGAACTGAGACATTCAGGGTCATCCCTGTCACAAGATCAGAAGCAATGGTGACTGACCTGAAAGTATATATATCTGCAAACAAATTTTGTTTGTGGTATTATTTAGAAAAGAAGATTTCATTAAATAAATCCATCAATTATATACTTACTTACTGAAGACTTACATCTCCAGTATCTACACTGCTATCAAACTCACTCTCAAATATATTAAGAAAACAAACCTAATCTCATTTTAAGCCCAACCAGTCTGGAAAAAAAAGTTGGTTTGGGATAACTTTCTGTCCCTTTCAAAACACAGAAGAACAGGTAAAAATGCAACGCTGTCAGGATGAAAGGCTTTACCAAAAATGCAATGTTATTAAGAAGTTCTCTAAGACAGATTCTTTATTCTCTTGCACAGAAGCACTATTCAGAACACGCTGGCAAAAGTGCAAATGCAATGCGTGGAGGAATTTTGGCTCCAAAGAAGGGGAATTTTTTTTTATTTTTTTTAAAGTGATTGCAGGATGGACAAAGGCTTCTTACAAGCTGATCTGAAATCACTTGGTGTTCTCTATGCACAAAACATGCTCAATCATAAGATGCCAAAGAAAAGATTTTTTGCTACAACTTTTCCAGTGAAGGAAAGATGGTAGTGCTGTACCTTACAATGCAGCCTAAAATCTGTTTTCCATTTTTTGCTGGTTCCTGACCAACACAGCATAGCCACACTGAATGAGGTGCAAGAATTGAAGATACAAACAAAAAGAGAATCTGGGAATGCAACAGGCAAGAGACTGACAACAGAATAATCATCACCTGAGCCACATGGAAACCAGAACAGAGAGAGCTTGCTTTCTCCTTCCTTTCAACAGACAATTCTGAGACCCTCTCATAAAACACCATTTGCACTCCTGACAACTTCCACTTACTACTGCTAAATACATTCCCCATTAACTCACCTAGCAAATACCAGCACTATGACCCGGAACACCTGACATCTGCTGACATCAAATACTCAGAACTACACAGAGAATATATTGTAAAGTCAGAGAAGCTGCAGCTTATACCTAAACTTCAACGATCAGGAACTCTCTTATTTTCTCAGTTTATAAACATGCACCAATCAGGAAAAGAGACATTAAGGCATAAATCAGGTACAGATGCTGACTTCAAGGACATTCTTTCTTTTGGAACAACTGGGGGAGTTGCATCTTTCATCTGCTCATGTCCTACTTAGAAGACAAGAACCTCGAAATAGAAATCCGGATGGCAAATGCCATGCAATCCTGACACAGCTCCAAAGCCACTGCCTCACTGTCTCACTCTCCAAGCACTGTCTCAGAGTGATTAAACAATTTTGCCTTGCTATGAGAATGCAGACATTAGGATTTAAGGAGTGCTTAGTGTTGAGAAAAAAATCACATTAGAACTTATGAGAAATTAATAGTTTAGCATTCAACAGAGGATTGGGCAGTAAATACTAAGGAAGTGTCATGTACATACTGAACAGATGCTGAAAATAAGTGCACAGAAAGTTGCTTATTTACTGAACAATGCTGTGCACCTGAAGGACAAAATGGGACAGAGAAGGAAAAAAGCACATGCAATGTAAAACAGGAGGACAGAATTAAGCGTGACAGATTCACTGTTTAATTCTATATTGAGTGTTTCTTAGCACAAAAATTTACAGTCAGTTGCTTCTGTAACCAGTGTACAAGCATCTGCCTTCACTGAGAATTCTGGTTATGCTACTTGAGATCTAGCACTCACCTGCCTTTCTTAATATCTTTGTCCATCTACATCAGGACAAAACACTGACCAAAGGTTAGGAGCAGCACAAAGCTAACAGAAGCTTAATTATCTAACTGAACTACCTAACACAACACAGTCAGATAAATTCAGCTACTCCCACGAATACAAAAAGTGAATTTTACAATTTAATTGCTCCTAATAAAGTCACACAGTTTGTGACTGGATGCAGACAACCACGTAGGAGTCCCAAATGGCAGATGAATCACTACTAATGAAGAAACAGGTTTTTTTCTCCTCATTGTTTTAGGTTGTTTTCTTGGTTTTGTTTTAAATGAATGATCAGTTCTTGTTGCAGAAGCTACCTTTGCTACTTGTGAAAGTGGAAGTTTAACAATCCAAGTTTTCTATGAAACGTTTGGCAAAAATACATGCCAGCATTTACACAGACGTAAACGTATTACCTTACCTGATAAATGAACCCACTCATTCTTGGGCTGGCAGACAACATTAACAAAATGTTAGGGAAGAGAAGAAGATACCTTTCATTCTTTTCCTTATAAAAAAAAAGAAAAGAAAAAAGTAAATACAACATCACAAGAACCCTTCTCCGTTTTTTATGTTTTACATTATTTAAAATGATCAGCAAAATTACAACTCTACAGTTACACCACAAACACTTGTCTCTAGCAAAATTAAACTCCCATAATGGTAGTTTAGAACAAGTAGAACAAATGAGAATTTTTTCGTTTTCTTTTTGAAAACTGCTAGTGACATGCCTATATTCCTTCCTGGAAAGCAGAGCCTTATCATTTAAAGAATTAATTTTTACACTTTGAGTGGAATACTAGCCTTGTTTAATTTAGTAACATCCAATTTGCTGATTTCACTGAATCCAAGAACATTAAAAATATATGTATATACAATACACAAAACTTGACTGGATACTGTTGCTATAATGTCAAGACTTCTGTCTCTCAAATATAAAATCAGATTTTTACAAAATATCAGATTAGCATCAGAATTAGAAAAATATTATGAAAGTAATAATGCTTATATTCAGAATGGAAACAACATTGCTTCGTTCTCTTTTAATATGATGGTTGCACTTAAGATTAGCATTAACACAAAGTTTTTATTTTAATGACAAATATATATATTTTTTAAGTGATTGCTTCAATTTCTAACACCTTTGCTATACCATACAGCTTCTTACCAAGTTTAAATGTTTCTATTTGTTTTTCAGTCTTTACAAAAGCATACATCATTTGAAAGACAAAAAGCAAATGCTTTTGCACAAACTAATTTGTTCTATATCTAGTCAAAAAGCAATTGCTACGCAGAAACTTCTAAGGGTCCATTACATTTGGCATTTTAACTATAATGAGTTTGGTGCAGACTTTTTTTTTTGCTTTAAAACAAGATGCAGCAGTAGAAGATGCATTATCTGCTCTAGTGATAGATATTTTATTTTAAACAGCTAACATAGTATCTGGTAGCAAGATATGTGGTGACAAACTTTAAAGAATCCAGTTGCAAAAGCACTTTCCTCTTTCCTCATACATAAAGGAGGAAACTGATCGAATATGGTTGCAATACTAAAACTCCCAACAAGTTCAAAGCTTAATTGATTACACAGGAGAATAGCTTATTGTTAAACCATGGCAGTATCTATTTACAAATGAGAACACCTATCTTCAAGTAGCTTATTTCCTATTCTATCATAAAAGTCTTAAATCAACACATAAATTTTATTTCTAGAATAAAATTTATTCTAGAAAAATATAACAAAGTATTTTTATTTCTGCTACAAAACGATTACCAACTTCACTGCAAAAGCGAAAGGAAGACTGACAGTAAAGGTGAGAAGTACATTACCTCACTTCCAGCACACTGAATCATGACCTGGGACATGTAGATCACATTGCCAAGTGTTTTAATATCTTCCCCCTCCCAACAGCGGATTGCTTCTGTTAATATTTGTAGTTCAAGTTCTTTCCGTTTCCGTACTTCTTGACATTGTGCCTAACAAACAGAGGCAAAAATATTCTCTTGTATCAACTCTATCAACATGGAACAGGTTGAGGGTAGAAATACCACCATATATTTACCCTTGTCACTGTAGTACACAGCAGACAGTACCTGAATATGAAGCGTTTTTTATATTACAATTACCAGCATAAAACTAATCTTGCTAACTTCAATATCATTTCTTTCTTTAACAGACCAACTTCAATTACAAATTCGTAGTCACATCCTCTTTTTTTAAATTTTCTTTCCTTTACATTTTAGGATTTGTAACACAAAACAGCTAGGCTAAGCATGAAGCAGTAACACAGCTGTCTTGAATACATATGGCTTACACACAAAATGGATTTGAAGAGACTTGTCAATTGTGCAAACTGAATGCGTACAACCTTCTGCTCCTATTTCTGTTACATTTCCTGCCAACTTATTTTCACTAACCATACTCCCATCTTATCTCACTTGAATTTTTCTCAAGAATTGTTTCCTCTCATTTGTGAAGCACTCAGAATTGGGGATCCTCAAACCTCTTCTGAACACAGAAAACAATACAATTTCTGCATTAAAATGTAAAAAAAAAAATGGGAAGTGCCACCTAGCAGGATACACTGCTAACAGGAAACACTAAAGTTAAGTTTACTGTAATTGAGAATGCAAGAAATACATCTCTTGCAGCTGTACTTCCTAAATTTAAGAGTTGCACTCTTCAAATTGAAGATTTATTGTCCTTTAAATGACAATAACAACTCATCTGTTCAAAGCAGGCTTATTCTCTTCATTACTTAAAGTTCCTACGTTCCCATCCTCATTTGCCCATCCCATTATCACTTCTCCCTCAACTCCAATACTACACCCAAAGAATGAATGCACCTTTGTAAAATCTCAAAAATACAATCTTTAGGTCACAAGTGCACATAGAAAGGAAAAGGAAGCACAAGAGAGCAGACATGCATAATGCTCTTCTGTCAATAGTCTATTCGCTGTAGCTCCCCAACAATCTGCAGTTCCTAGCTCTGCCCACAAACTACATTAATCTCCAAAATCCCAAAACTTTCACAAAATTTTCTTATACAGATGTGTACAAAAGTGTTTTGCTTTATAAAAGCAACAGAGATTAAGCTGGAAAGCATGCTGCTGAAAATATACATGATCTATTTTTCATTCCTCTTACAGAAAGGTTTTTGAAGGCTGTCATGGATTTTTGAATATCTGGACGATCTGGATGATAATCCTAAAAGCAAGGAGAAAAACATACAATAAAAATTTTAGTTTTAGTAAAAATAATAATAAAAATGCTTATAGGCTTACCTAAGAGCAAATAAACTATGCCACAAAATAAAAGCTTTTCAACCTTTCTGTTCTCTTTCCATAGTCTTCCCATTCAAAATACTGGTGATCTTCCTCTCAGTAAAAGTGAAATAGAAATGTTGTCGATGACTCTTAAGTTTACAACAGGGTCAAGGAAATTTTACAGGTCCTTCTGGACACAAAAAATTGCTTACCAACTTGAACTCCTAATAGGAAGTGTAGATTTTAAAAGGTTTTATTTGGCTTGTTGACTTTTATTATAAATAAATCACATTTCCTTCAGAGTCATTGACTGCCAAACCATGTGACTCAGAAACTAGTAATAGTTTCTCTTTCTCCTTCACAGCCCACAAGTCTCGCCTATAAGATGAAGCTGCTGAAAACAGTTAATCTTCAAACATCTTCCCACTATGGGAAGATCATTTCTGCACAGTGTTCAGTAGAAGTCAAGATGTCTCCAACAGGTTGAAATCCTATTATGAAAAGCAGCACTCCTACAAGATAAAGTTGCCTCTAGTTGTGTGCAGGAAACCCAAAAAAAAAACCCAACATCAAGTCAACTGCAGACCCTGCAAGACTGTTCTAGGAGTGAAGGTTAGCTTCTCTGCCTAGCTTTAGTGTAAATGTTTAGCTTTCTCAGGAAGTCTTACTGCACCGCCTTTTGAAATATGGCAGCCCATACTTTGGAAGGCTGCAGGAAGAGAAACAAAAGTCATTTGGGGTCCCATCATGTTTGACATGTACCTTTAAAATAATTGTTGTCAAATCATCATTAAGCTGGAACATAAATGCTGATAAGATATACCTCCATGTGCCTTTCAAGCTCTTTGAGTAACGTGGGGTATTTATCCAGACGCATAAAAGGTTTGCTGAGGCCTGTGGTCAGTACAAGGATCCCAGGACTGTTGGCACCTTTCACCTCCATGAATTCTCCTAGCTCCTCACTGCACACACAAGACATTTAAGCAAATTAATATCAAGTTACCAAGAAAATCAAATTAGATTCTTCTCTTCAGACTTTCACACACCCTTAATTCTGCAGATAAAACATTAATTCAAATAAACTAAAAAATTCAAGAACTCAAGTACAACTTAAGAGTTCTTATTTGATCAACTAACCAGCAGCCATACAAATAGTAAATAATCAGATACAGGTATGCAGTCCATCCCCATGAGCTAGAGTTTCAAGGTCTTTAAAATTACATAACACATTTTTGACATCAGCATTAGTTTAAGAAACCAACACTCTCCAAATATCATGAATTGGTATTTCCTCTACACATAGTTCTTCATATTTGCATCACTTCTCACAACTGACTTGCAGCACATCCATTCTAGTTGTTACATAAATTCTCGTGTCGCTTTGCTACCTTTTAATGGAATTAAAGTTCACTTTGCTACCAGTGAAGCTTATGTTATTTACATTCTCTCTGCTTCCTTACACAGCAGAAATTTCAGAGAAATAAGGTAGAGGACAAGTTGCTACTGGTCATCTAAGCTTAAAAAAAAATAATAAAAGAATTAAAAACCAGCCTTCTCTTTGAGGAAAGGAAGGTACAGCAGCATCTGGCCTTATTTCCAGGCTTGAGAAAACACACGTTGCAGAAGAACATACATATCTGAATATAAAATGTAATTAAGAAAATTCAGAAAGCTACTTATTAAGAAGAAAATCCTTTCGGCATTCAAGCTATGCCATTTAAGTTATCTGCAGATGGAGCTGTTAGCATTTTGAGCAGTTGCTACTGTAAATTAACTACTTCTCAAACAAACCCCTATACTATCATGTGATAATCATTAAAATCTTTTGTAAGCTATCCTGAAAATCATTACTTTCAGCTCATTAACAACACTACTTCCCTGTAAGTCAAGGCTTAAAACACTTGTTTGCCTTTGTAGTCTTACTTTGCAAAGAAAGCCTTTGCCAGCTGTCAGATTAAGTTCTTTTGAAAACAGTAAATAAATTAAGAAAATGTAACTGTTAAACAACTATTTGCAATAAAGGAGGAATACTTGCACATTAGGGTCTCATTAATAAAATTCTTTCACTTAAGCCTAGGTGACAATCTAGGAGGGGCAAGTTTCTCCACACTTAGGGCACAGTGTTTTGATGTACTGAAATGAAAGCAAATCTCTGTCTGTTCAGCTTCCCTAAAGATAAAAAAACAAAACACTGACAGGACATTACTATAATACATTAAAATACATAGGTCCAAATAACAGTGAGCTGTACATATAGAAACACAGATTAAGACAAAATTGACCCTGTCTATCCCTCCCCCCACCACCACACACACCCCTTCCCATTTCAGAAGGACTGACGCTTTTATTAGCATAATTTATCCAAGTAGATAACGAGAGCAAACCAAGAACAGAGGTCTTCTCACGCAGATACATCTTCCCCAAAATCTCTCTCCTTCTGGCTATTACTTTCTTCAGGTTCAAAGAACAGAAAGCACTTTTCTTATTTGCCTTTAGTTAATTGGTATTTACTTATACTACCTTGTTTAAATACACCATTACTGCTTCTGTATTGCCGCCTGGTAGGGCACAACCTCACATAACCTCCTTCAGAGGACACCAAGCCCTGGCACTTCTCAGTGCATACCAGGTGTGTTTCTGCACTTCTGAACTTGAAGTTAACAAAGCAGATCAGGAAGTTTCCCAACACCTTTTTTGTACTGTCAAGTTGTATAGGGAAGGGATCAGCAGAGCACCCACAAGGTAGGCCTCCTTTCTCCATCACTTACAAGCAGAACACTTGTGTGACTCCAGGTCAGCCTGGGACATGACCAAGTTTTTAGCCAAAACTCACTGAAAAGCTTCCTGCAATAAAACTGAGTACTTCTCTGACTTAAATTTAGATATAAGAAGCTGCCCAAGAGAGTATCTTGATACTTAAGATCTACTTTGGTCTAAGCTTTTGTTTCTTTGTTTGTTTTTTGTTTTGTTGGGTTTTTTTTGTTTTGTTTTGTTTTTTAAATCACAGTCCTCACTCAGTGTAAAAAAAAGTGTTATCAACTTATTCATCAGGTGGCACTCTCAAGGTGACTTATGGACTTTGACTCACACTTACGTTGGTTTACAGGGTTGCCAGCTACTTGTTCAACCCAGCATTTATGGCCGATTCCCTGGAACATTATTACACTAACTGGCTGTGATGTGGTCTCACATCCTCTGCCTCTGACAAGTGAATGTGCAAGGTGACATAGGGGGAAGGGACGATGACAGATCAGGGCACCACAGCTAGCTTCTACACAAAGCTTTACCAAAGCTCACCTGTGAAAGCCCTTCTGTCACAAGATACAATGCTTTACATTTCGATTCATTCCGTATATAGTATTGATCTCAGGTATACCACTGGGTTGATCTATCTTGTTTTTAATTAATTCTCCCTGTAAGCACCCCATATCCCCTTATCTATTATTGTTTTCTCGTCGGTGATAGGTGCCACAAGAACTAACAGAAAATAAACAAACTCATTCTTTGCCTTTTCTTTACTTCAGCCAGACGCAGCCCCGCTGCCTAACTTTACAAACTATTTCTATCCTCATGCCTTGTTACTCATCCCCACTTCAGATAGACGTACATGCCCATACAAGCTTCTTTCATCTCAAAAATATCAGTATATTTCATAGTACAAGCCAACCATTGATTCCTCTCATTCAATATACCGTCATTCCTTCATCTTTAGATTGCCAAGACACGAACATCCCTAATTATTTTTGGCTACCTCCATGCTGCTGTGTGCGTACAAATCCATTATATAAACGGCATTTGCTGAGCTATCCCACAACACAGTGCTTTTTAAAATAAATAAATATTTCATTATCTAATGCCTCTACAGTAGGAGGAACACAGTGCCTACCAACTCCATTTCTCCCACATTCATCTTCCCTTTGTTTGCCACTGTGCCTTTTCTTCCCGACCTCAGCACTGTAATGCAGATATGTCAGAAAATGGGGGGGAGGAAAAAAAAGCTCACTGAAGCCTGACAGGTGACTACTTTGAAACCCGAAATAAAATATAAACAAAATCTTCTCTGCCTACTCTGCAACCCCTGGCTTTAAGTAAGCGATTCTACCCTTAAGCGAGGTTGCAGCGGTTGCCATGCTAGCCACTGCTCTCTAGCACAGGACACTGTTGTTTACTGCCTCATTTTTAATCACAGTGCAAGAGCCTACAGAGCAAGTTGAAGTGAGCTGAGGTTTGAAATGTACACAGCATCCTGAAAAACTCGCTTAACAATTGCATCACCAGGAAGCCTTTTACACAGAGCTGTGTTAAAAGGTGCAATTAAAATTGAATTACGCAGTTTCCCTCCTGACTTTCCCAAGAGGACAATGTTTTCTTTCATTCACTTCTATAGGTCGCTCTGACAAGTTTCGACATGCTCACTTGTTCAAAGTCTAAAAGGAACATGCACACACACTTAATAACAGGAGGCAAAGCTTTGTTCAAGCAGTGTGCTGGTGCAGACCCTGGTACCTCTCTGGCTCAACCTAAACCAGCCTCCTATCTCTACAGGTACAGGAACAAAAAGTATCTGGCAAAGAAGGAAATGATTTTAGCTCAAAGTGACCGTCCCTCATTTATTCAAAAGGACAAACGTGACTCTGAAACATAATGGAAAGACTTGCTTGCAATAAAACATGGGTGGGTTTAAGTAGTGTTTGAATACGACACAGTTTCTTTAATTAATAGCAGCTTAAAAATATCCGTGTTGTTAGCTTAAGAGCACAGCTGCTTTGACAAAGACAATGGCTCTTTCATGTCACTGTTTCAACTGATGCTTATAAGTACCACCTTCCTAGTCAGTATATACTAAATCAAGCTCCTGCCCACAGTTAAGCCATATGTTACTCTTGTGGGTTTTGTGTTATTTTGTTGTCGTTGTTTGCTTCCTTAATAAAGAATAAAAAATAAAAATCAATTTAGCTGAACAAGAAAAGCTTTTTAACTGTTAAATCATCAACTGAGTCAAAACTGCCTACGTAAGTAACTTCTCAGAAAGAAGTGGTCAAGATTTCAATACACAGCCTGCATCACTTTACAGAATAAAAAAGGCTGTGCTTCAAATCTCAAGCAGAAGAGTCCTCCCTCCTCTCCAGACTAAACTTAGCTCACAGCAAAAGAAATTTTAGAAAAGTATCTTTAAGCCACATTAACATATTCAAATCCTTCTTAGCACAGCTGCCTCGAAAGCTGCAAATCGGGGGGGGGGGGGAAGGAAGAAAACAAGTTCAGATGCGCGCACAGTCAGAGAAAGGAAAGCACATCCAGGAACTAAAATGTAGCTTTAAAATCACAACTTACGCTTCTGAAGTAGGTCTCTGTTTGTAATAGATGGAGCACGAGCTATCACTGCTCAGAGGTCTGAGCACTGCACACAGGCACCGCATTTTGAGAGCGTTGTGGCACAGCTCAGCTCAGCAACCCTTCAACTGCTGCTTTCAGTTCCCAACTTCTCAGCTGAGCTCCTCACTCAAGGACTGCTGATCAGCGTATGACATCAGCCTGCACACTTGCAAGCTCAGAGATGCACATAAATGGGGGAGGCACAAAGAGCTTTCTGACTCAAGCTGATCTGTATTCCATGCTCCAGTTACATGGAGTAATTGTGATGTTTCAGCTTCAGAAGCTTTCTCCAGACTGCTAAGCCAGTGATGCAAACACAGAATATACGTGGGACTCGTTATCTAAAAAACCTGAAAGATCTAACAAAACTAATACTTGAACAAGTGGAGTTCTGCAAATAGCTCCCAGCTATTCTTCAAGCTGAAAACTGGCTCAGAACTTATTTTACAATAAAAGCAACAGAGATTACTGATTTGAAGCTTCTTCTTGAGCAAAATATTTTTCTTTTAGAAACATTTTTCACCCACATTGTTTAAATAATGCCATGTTTACTTTAAACAAAAGTCAAAAAGCTTTAAAAACCTGT